CCCGGTTTAAATCAGATAACTCGGTTGCAATTAAAACCGACAACCGACTCAACTCGAATAAACCGAATTTAATTTAGACCCGGTTTAAATCAGACATTCGGTTTGTATAAATTCGGCTCAAGTCGGATTTAATACCACCCGGATTAACCCGAATACATCCGGTTGCAAAATTTAGTGAGAAATTGAAACCGGTTTGCGTACTTACAACCGGTTCCTATCCCTGGTCCAGACTGGTTAAACTGGTCCCGTGGATTGGTCAGATGGACCAACAGGCATTTCGAGTTCTAGAATTGTGAATGTTACGTGATTGGCTGTTGGCCCTGAGTCTAGGACTAAGTCTGAAGACTGTAGTGCGTTTGGACCAGTCTTTGGCTCGGTCCCGGGCCAAGTCCAAGCTGAGTCCGGATTGGGTCCGAACCGTGCTTCATGTGACTTAGTGGGAAGCAGACTACCGATCCGAGTTCAGGATCCAGTCCAGACGGGTCTAATTCGAACTGGATTACAAGCATGTTAAGATCTTAATTGCCAGGCTTAATTGTTAAGCTCCACTTAGTAACTATCTCATTTGATGTTCTCACACTAGAGAATTACATTGAACAGTTTCTTCAATGTTGTGAGGATCAAGAATTGCAGTCTTCACAAGTATAGATGTTCACCTGAATAGCAATTTGTCTGCAGACAAATTGTCTTCTATCCAACAGAAGGACAATTTGTCCGAGATTAAACTTCAAATTTTTATTTCAGACGCACGATGTGTAATGTCATAAGCATTTACAAATTGTCTATGCTGTTATACCTGCCTTCACAGGTTTGCAGGCTCATGATGGAGTACACAACTTGAAAATTTTGGATTTGGCGCGTCGGTTATTCATTGCTTCATGGGTGACCGAAACTCTTTCACTCGCCTGACCACCGTTTTACCCTTGGCAAACTTCTCACTTTCTGCTTTCTTAATTATTTGCTTGAATCGGCGAATTGTTACACAAAAAATTTTCTGTGGTGATGTAAATAGTAAAAAGTTAATCGCAGAAAATCTCAATTTGAAACCACTGAGCGCTAACATCTACCTTCGTTTGTAACATAACTCGTGCAATTTTAATAATGTTTTCAATCTCATTATACAGTGTGTTACGAAAAAAATTGCCCTCACAAAAAATTTCATAACTCGACAACGACACAAAATATTTAAACAATTCCAAGTGTTTTAGAAAGTTTATAATGTATTTTATTATAGGTAAAATTTT